TATATAATTGATGAACTACTACAAAGTTAACCCAACGAAAAAACGAAATAGTGAAATTTTGATTTAAAATACCAATTTTTGGATCGGGGTATGGGAAACATGTTTATGTTTTTAGTCACTTTTAGGGGTTTTTTTTTTCTATAACTGTAAAAACTGACAGGACCTTAGTTAAATACTTACTTATTATATTCGTTCAGTGGTGGTCCCAGGGGGTCTGATAGGGTGGGTCCAAACACAAAGCCAACTAGACCCTCGGTCAGATTCCCGGAATAAAAATCTCTGGGCTTATGGGAGAGTTTTTTTTTTTTAGCTTAGTATGGCCCAAAATTTTGCTTTTAAGCCAAAATATTAGGGATTGGCAACCAAATTAATGTTTTATGAATAAGCAAATCATTATTTGTGGTGTGGCAACCTCGTCGTGGCATCGTACAATGGGAATCTATGCCTGTCTGACGGGAATTCCCTACCTTCTCAAGCAAATTTGGAATGGTGACGTCAACACACCAAATTCCAAGACTACTGCAATCAAAATTAAAGGAAATGTTTACCTATTTAAATTTAATCTTTCTACACTACATTTTTCATCATCATCATTATTATACTATTATGTTGTTACTTTATAAATTATTATTAATATAGTACTCTATATAATTATTCTTATAATAAAAAAAATTATAGTTTATAATTCACATTAATATTAGCGTTAGTACTGTTATTCTTACTACACTGATGTCATTATTATCATCATCATCATCATCATCTTCCTCATTGTCATCCCCATCCTCATTATAATCCCCATTATAAGGAGGATGTTGATCATGAGGAGAAGAAAGATGATTAGGATGATGGTGAGGAAGAAGATGGTGATTATGATTGATGATAATGGTTGTTGATGATAATGACTGTGATGATGGTAATGAGAATGATAGAAAATGATTGATGAGAATGATGATGATGATGATGATGACGATGATGATGAATGATGAGAATCATCCCTCTCATCCTCATCTTCATATTTGTCATCCTCCTCCTCATCATCATCCTCGTGATGATGATGGTGACTGATGATGAAGATGATAATGATGAAAATGATGATGGTAATTTTGATGCTGATGACAGTAATCAGGAAGATGATGAGGATGACGATAATAATGAGGGTGATGGTAATGATGATTATGATTATGGTGATGAAGATAAGAATGATGATGAGGAGGATGAGGATGATGCAGTTGATAAGGAGAAGGAAGATGATGAGGTAGATGATGATTGATGATAGATGATGATGAGGAAGAAAATGATGCTGATAAGGATGGTGAGGATAATGATGATAATAAGGAAAATTAGGATGATGAGTTTGATGATAATGAAGATAAGGATGATGATGATTATGATTGATGAGGATG